GGCGCAGTTCTACCCTGCCCTGTGGAGTCGCTCTGAGCCTGTACTGATCGGATGGCACTGACAGAATAGTCTTGTCGCTAAGAAGAAGAGTCCCAAAGCCTTATCCTCCTCCCTCGGAGCAGCTGGTGGTTTCGAACTGCTGACCCCGAGACTAGCAGCCTAACACCAACCACTGTGCCACTAGGGATCCCTCATAGGGAATGGAACTGGGAGGAGCGTTTCGAGGATGGCAGTTAAAGTCGCCCTTAATTATAAGACATACTGAGTTCCAAGGCGGAAGACGTGTTCTGTCATCACGAGAAACACGCAGTGCGAGGCTGAATGGCGAGGGAAGCGTGGTCTCTTGGAGACGGTGGAGTGGGTTTATTTTCAGTGTGCCAAGAGATTATCTGAAATTACCTAAAACCAGACTCACTGCCATCAAGTCAATCCTGGCTCCTCGTGACCCCACAGAGGGTTTCTGAAGCTGCGCATTTGGGAGTAGGAAGCCTCCTCTTTCCCTCAGAGTGTTAGAGCTTGACGTCAGCAAGCTAGGCATAAGCCCGATTCCAAGACATTGTTGGCCACCGCCGAGCACGCGGGGCTTCTCCTCCATGAGATTGACGGCCTGCTTGTTCTGCATCTGTGCGGTTGTCAGTCTGTCTCCGATTGCTGGATGGAGAGCAGAAGTTCAGAGGCTGCTTTTATAAGGTCTGCCTCTCGGCATAGCTGGGGCGATTTCCACTCTTGGAGAGTGTGGATGAGGAGCCTGGACATTGGGCGCTCGAGCTCAGACTTGGCACTGCCAGCCCACCAGCTGCCCGGTGAGAAAGATGGGGTTGTCCTTCTCCCATGAAGGTTTACAGTTGTGGGGTCACTGTGAGTTGAGGTCCACTCAGTGGACCTGGATGCTGTTTGCTGGGTGGGTGCCGGGGCCATCCATCAGCTTTCTGCCCCCATCAGTAGTTACAGCCGCGGCCCATTGATGGATACGGTGGGGAAATGCAGGAGAGAAGCAGGTTTGTTCAGGTGAGAATGTTCATCGCGGTGTCTGGGACATGTTAGGTTTCAGAGCCATGAAGGCCTCATTGTTCCAGGTGTGCGATGGGAGGGGCCTGTGTCTGACCCTCCAAGAGTTCTGTTCTCAACCTGTAGGTCGTGTCCTCCTGGCCACGAGGAATCAGCCTGGGGTCTCCAGAGTCAGGCCTGACTCACGGTGCCCCCTGTGTGTCTGCTCACCATGGAGTGCGTGTAACTCACGGCGCCTCCTGTGGGTCCCTCACTGTGAAGTCGGTGTGACGTGCGGTGCCCCTGTGGGTGTCCATGCCTGTAACTGTTGACGGGGGTAGAAAGCTGAGCCTTTCTTCCATGGAGCTGCTGGTGGTTTCGAACCACAGACCATGTGGATGGCAGCCCAACATGTAACCACTCACAGGGAAGCTGATGCTGTGGTGTTAGAGGCGATTCTTGGGTCTCGGCTAGGAAAACGCAGTAGTTTTGCGTGAAGGTCAACGTTGGACGTGAAATGGCCGTGTCCGAGGGAAAGAGGGTGCAAGAGCCCCTGCTGGTAGAGGGCGCCTTCCCTGCGGGGCGGCCGCAGCTCAGCAGATGTCGGCCAACTAGAAAACCCTGTTG